TCATTGGTTTTTTCCCCTCTCTCTTTGGAAGGCAATTGGCATAGCATGGGGCTGTTCCTGAGCCTGGAAAAACACCCATAAATCCAAGAAGAAGCTGCTGAAACGAAGAAGAAGAAGCTGGACAGAAATCGGCAGAATAAAGGGGTTGTATTTTTTCCATTCCCGTTTTTCTTGTTTTTTGACTTGAATCTTGTTTGTTGATTGTTGTTTTGGTTGATTGAACTCCTAGAATCCCCAACATAATTTAAGTTAAAATCAATAATTAATTTTAATCACATATTTTATAGATCTCATAATTTTTCAATCATACATTTCATCAACTTCTACTAAAATTTCGATTTTAATCCTCACCAAACAGGGGCTAAATCTAAATAGAATAAAAATCGAATTCAAGTGAAGTTAACCAATCTCCTAAAATCATTTAAACAGTATGAACATTAATTTGTGTCAACTTTCTAACGAGATAAGAAGTAATGGGGTCAACAATAATTCTTGAATTCGAATGAATTTTGGAATAATAATATGTAAAATCAAGCAAGCAGGCGATTGATTTGTTAAAAAATCACGAAATTATGACAGAAAGCGCAAGCACAGGTGGCAAAATATGAGTGGCAGTCCCAATAGTACATTCCCTTGTCGGTTCTTCTATAGGGATTAGGGCAAATGTGAAAAGTCTAAAAGAGAGGTAAAGATCCGAGGAAGGAGCAAAGAAAGTTGGGTAATTACAAATTTCAATTTTTTGAAAAAAAAAAGAGGAGAAATTTCATATCTAAGAGATTAAATATGATTCATTTCAAAATTAAGAAATAATGTTTATTATTTTAAAAATAAGATATTAATTAAATTTTATTTATGAAATAATTAATTAAGAATATATTTTATTAATTAAATATATTATGATCACAATTATGTGTTTATGCGTCACAACTTATTTTTTCTTCACATATTATTAAATTAATTAGTCACAAATTATTTTTGATTACAAATAAAAAAATTTATAAGTTACAATTTATTTATCGGTAAAAAATCACAAATTTTACAAGTCATAACTTATTTTACGATTAAAAAGTAAAAATTTTATAGATCAAAACTTATTTCAAGGTCACAAACCACAAATTTTATAGGTCACAACTTATTTACGCTCATAAATTATCATATTAATTGATCACAGTTTATTGAATTTTAAGTTGCGATCACACATTCTTCTAACTCACATATTATTTACCGATTACAAATTAACAATTTATTGGTCACAAAACTCAAAATAATTGGGTTACAAACACTCTTCCCTTCCTCCCAACCCACCACCGTGAGCATCGCTTCCAGAACCACACCACCTTGCCAGCATCACTACAACACCGCCACATCACCACCACATAACCATACTCATAGCATACACCACTGCCGCACAACCACACTCACAGCACACCACCACTGCAGCTACAATAACAAATAAAATTCATCCCAAAATATCGACTATACCGACTAAGCAAGGATGAAGAAGAAACCATCCTCAAAACCACGTCTAGCGTCGATACCGCACAGCGAGCACCGCTCATATCAGTGTGTCGCCAAACACTACAACCAACACTACACAAACAAAGGCTCATTCAACATAAACACTATAACCATCAAGAACGTACCACCGCGTCGTGCTGCTTCGTGCGTGCGACGCCCCATTCACAGCTGCAGTTTGCGAGCAGCAGCGTAACAACATACCCGCGCGTTGTCGCTGCTTTGTGTGTACACCACCCCATTTTCCGTTTGTGAGCAGCGTAGCCGTTGCTTCATACATAATCGCAATCAGATGCCACTAAGCACGAACTATAACGGAACGAGGCGTTTGCTACGATTGTCGTCTGGAGAAAGGACGTCGCAAGGCACCGTGAAGATCAACGAAGAATAGGTGGGTGAAGATGCATTGGGAAGTGAAAGGTGGAGAGATATTTGTGAAAACATAAAAAATGCTCCTCATCCAAGCCAAAAAACAGGGGTCTGAGCACTCCAGCCCTGTTTTTAGGCTTGTCCCCAGGCTTGGATCTGGAGCAAGCTTCGTGAAAATATATTAGGGATTGTGGAGTTGATGTGATTTTAGGGATTGAAATTAAGAGGGGGTGAGTGTGTGGGTGAGGAGTTTGTAAATTTATTAATTTTATAATAATATTATTAATATTTATTTGTATAAAAAAAAACTTTAAATCTTAATTTAGAAGTCAAAATTTAAAAAAGTTGGTTGGATGTTGATACTGACATTCCCTACCTATCCCGACCACTTTCATCCCGACCATTTGTGAGGGCATTTCTTACGATTTTTGGTCATTAGTGCTCGGGATTCAACTAAGTCCTCGGGACATCCTATGCCTGACCTTGATAGTTAAACTAACTATCACAGAATACAGGGATGTCTTCGGGAATAATACCTCGAGAAAATCCCTTGAGGTCCTCAACTACCATCATCCTCGTACTAAGGAGAAGGTCTATCCCCTGAGAACTCTTATCTGACACAAATACTTCAAACCACATCTCCTAAGTCCAAGAGAGTCCTCTTAACAATTTGTCTTCTAATCACAGTAGGATCCAAACACTGCTTTCTCATGGGACTCTATCGGATAGGGATACCCAGATAGTTGAATCCTACCAGGAAAGCACCATACGCCTCTATAAATACAGAACCTTGAGCCATTATTCAGGTACGTTTTCATTATTTTCCAGTTTATAGTCTCATGCATATAATTCCCTTTCTGACTTAAGTATCGGAGGGGAGACGAGAACACACCGCGTTACCTTTGTTTCAAGAACCGGAAGACTACGATCGTGCTCATTCAAAGTCCTCAAGCTCGAGAAATCAACAGGTACGATTTTTGATAGTATCATTGGCGCCGTCTGTGGGAAGCGCTACCAGAAGCCATGGTTAACACACGATTAGGTCTTCCTCCCTCAAGCTCATCCGCTCTCATTCCTCATCTTGCTGAAGATCAACTGGCTCATCAAGAAGAGTCGTCAGGAGTGACCACACCTCAGCCAGCGACCGTCACAACTGAAGCCTTCGAAGAGCTCCATCAGCAGGTGGTTACACTAACGCAACTGCTAAGTCAAAAAAATTTACATCCGTCACCGGTGCAAGTAAAGCACAGTGGTTTTATGACAGATGCTCGAGCCCCAGCACCAAACCCCGCAATAGGTGGAGTAGGGACCTCAGGTATTCATAACATGGCCTCAGGCTAAAGATCGGTTGCTATAGATTTTGGAGAGATTGCCTGGATCATTTAGGAAGGAATTACGACTGGCCTGCAACGGAATGCTCAGGGGCCAACAGGTTTTACCCCTAACACTCTATTCACGCCTGAGATATTGTCATATCCCCTGCCCGACAGATTCAAATATCCTGGCATTAAAGAGTATGATGGGACGACTGATCCAATTAATCATCTCAATGTATACACTGATGTCATGAAATTGCAAGTTACGTCGAATTAGGTTATGTGTAAAGCCTTCCCGCAAATAGTGACTAATGCTGCTAGGGATTGGTTTTCGACATTGGAGCCCAACTCCATAGCCTCATTCTCAGATTTGGCTGATAAGTTCTTAGCCTTCTTTGCAAGTAGCAAGCTTATCAGAAAGACTGCGGCCTCTCTCATGCAACTTCGCCAGGGACCAAATGAAACCTTACGAGGATTTATGACGAGGTTTAACAAGAAAAGACACCAAATACCCGACCTTCATATTACGGCGGCACTCTTTTCCCTGACCTATGCCATAAGGCGTGAAGCCTTCAAAATTTCCCTATCAAAGACCCCGCCACAGACAGTGACTGAGCTCCTTACACTGGCTGAAAAATACATTAATATGGAAGAAATGCTGAACCCAAGAAGACCTGGTCTTTCTTATGAAAGGGTCGAGAATAAGAGACAGCATGACGTCACCTCCCGACCCGAGCATCCTCGAGACAAGCGCAAGAACGAAGGGCCGTCAAGGCCTCTCACCAAGTTGAACACAACCAAGTAAAACATTTTGATGGAGATCAAGGATATGAAAGAGTTGAAGTGGCCTTCAAGGATGAAGTCGTCCCCTGACACAAGAGATAGGAGCAAGTATTATGAATTTCACCGAGATTATGGTCATACCAATGAGGATTGTCAAGCCTTACAGCGGGAGATTGAAGCCTTCATCAAAAGAGGGCTCTTAAGAAATTACATCGATCATGATAAAGGTCTGAAGAATGAGCGTGACAATCAAAAAGAGCCCGGAGCAGGAAGCAGTGCTCAACCCACTACCGGGACCATTAATATTATCATTGGAGGTATAGCATCTGGAGGAGACACAAACAGTGGGAGAAAGCAGTATGCCTGCCAACATGCTCATACCCCAAGGGAATCCCATGATGAAGTCAAAGAAATTACCTTTGGGGCAAGGGATTTGAAAGGAGTATCATATGCTCATGACGATGCCTTGGTGGTCTCTGCAATTGTGGCTAACTTCCAAGTAAAGAGGATTCTGATCGATAATGGGAGTGCAACAAACATACTATCATAGGAAGCTTTCGCTAAGATGTGGATCTCTCTCAAACAGCTCAAAACAGTCAAAACTCCCCTACAGGGATTTGGTGGTGGAGTCATTATCCCGGAAGGAATCGTCGAGCTTCCGCTTACTTTGGGTTCCGACAATGCCCAAGTGACGGAGATCACACCCTTCCAAGTAGTTAACACTCCTATGGCGTACAACATAATTATGGGAAGACCCCCGCCGAACAAGATCAAAGCCATTGTATCAACATTCCACCTAGCCATGAAGTTCCCAACAGGTCATGGTATCAGAGGAGTTCCAGGAGACCAAACAACTGCCGGACAATGCTATGTTACTAGCATTCGAGAAATAAATACAGACGTCATGCAACTTTCAAACCTCGAGCTCGAGCGAAGGGGTAGACTTACCCCTGTTGAGGAATTGAAAGTGGTCGAGCTCGAGCATGGAAAAATGGTAACTATTGGTCGTGATCTCAAGGCCAGCCTCTGGGAGGAAGTCATCAATTGCCTATCCCGTAACATTGATATTTTTGCATGGAGGTCGAGGATATGCCAAGAATAGACCTCGAAATAGCAGTCCATAGGCTCAATATAAGCCTAGGGGCCAAACCTGTTAAGCAAAGGAAGAGACAGTTTGCGCTAGAAAGACGTGTAGTCATTCAGGAAGAGATCGACAAACTGATGAAAGCGGGGTTCATAAGGAAAGTCCACTACCCCGATTGGTTTGCTAATTTTGTTCTTGTGAAGAAGGCTAGTGGCAAATGGAGGGTCTGCATCGACTTTACAAATCTCAATAAAGCATGCCCTAAAGACTGTTATCCGCTCCCTAGGATAGACAATCTTGTGGATAGCACGTACGGACATAAGTTGTACAACTTCTTAGATACATTTTCAGGGTATCATCAAATTCTCATGGCCAAGGAAGACTAAGAGAAGACTTCATTCATGGCTGATTTAGCCATATACTGCTACAGGGTAATGCTCTTTGGGTTGAAAAATGTTGGGGCAACATATTAGAGGCTCATCAACAAAGTCTTCGCTGATTTGATAGGGAAGAACATTGAGACCTAGGTTGAGGACATGGTGGTGAAGAGCAAGAAGGTAGAGCAGCACATATCTGACCTAGAGAAGGTGTTTGCCACCCTACGAAAATATCGGATGAAGCTCAACCCAGAGAAGCGTGTATTCAGTGTGACTTCGGGAAAATTTTTGGGCTTCATGATCACTGATCGGGGGATCAAAGTAAACCCTGATAAGATCCAGGCCTTGGCAGCAATGGAATCTCCCAGAACTAAGAAAGAGGTGCAAAAGTTGACAAGTAAGGTCGTAGCCCTAAACAGATTCATGTCCCAAGCAGCAGATAGGTGCTTCGCTTTCTTCAAAGCTCTCAGAGGTAGCCAATCCTTTGAATAGAATGAGGAGTGTGAGAGGGCTTTTCAGGAGCTCAAATAGACATTGGCGTCCTCCTATCTTCACTAAACCAGAGCCTAGGGACACTTTGTTTTTGTACTTAGCTGTGTCTTAGAATGCAGTGAGCGGCGTCTTGGTGAAAGAGGTCAATAGAACCCAGCAGCCCATTTACTATGTAAGTAAAGTCGTACTTGATGCAGAGACAAGGTACACTTTGGCCGAGCAACTTGTCCTTGCCCTAATATGGCAGCACGAAAGCTTCGATAATATTTTCAGTCTCATCCCATTGTGGTGCTCACTAATCAGCCTCTGAAACACATCCTTCAAAAGCCAGACATCTCAGGCAGGTTACTAAGGTAGGCAATTGAACTTGGAGAGTTTGACATAGAGTTCAAACCCCGTCCGTCCATCAAAGCCCAAGCCTTAGTGGATTTCATTGCAGAACTCACTCTAAGGTCTCGAGGGCCAGATGAAAGCTCGAGCACTACAACGATGTTTGGCAAATTTTCATGGATGGAGCATCAACCTCCTCAGGCTCGGGTGCTGGGGTCATCATTACGAGCCTGGACATGCTCATAGACATTCAGTGTACACTCAAGTTTGAATTCGAGGCAACCAATAATGAAGCAAAGTATGAGACTGTCATCATAGCCATGGAACTTGCCATTAATCTCAAACTTGAAAGCATCAAAATATTTAGTGATTACCAATTGGTTGTTGGCCAGATTGACGGTACATTCGAGAAGAAAGACGAAAAAATGAGCTTATACTGCTTAAAAGTTCTTGATCTCCGACGAAAATTGAAGAGTTTTGAGATTGTGAAGATTGTCCGGGCTGACAACTGCAAGACAGATACCTTATCAAGGCCGGTGTTCATGGGAGTAGATAGACTTGACAAGACAGTAAATGTTAAGTTTGTGACCGAGCCTAGCATCAATCCAACCGCTGGGGTCATAGATGTTGATCATGAGCCGTCATGGATGGACCCAATTGTGGATTTCATAACAAATGAAAATCTTCCAAAAGATCCTCGAGCAGGAAGAAGCATCTGGACAAAAGCTCCAAGGTACTGCATTATCAATGGAGTCTTATTTCGCAGAAGCCTCACACTTCCGTACCTTAGGTGCCTTAGGCCTTCGAAATCTTCCCAAGCCCTAGAGAAAGTTCATGAAGGAGTATGTAGGAACCATCAAGGAGCTCGAACATTGGCCTTTAAGCTCATAAGGTAAGGATATTATTAGCCTTCATAGAATATGTGAAGAAGTGTGACAAGTGCCAAAGATTTGGCAATGTTATCCACTCTCCCGTCGAAGACCTCACCAACATCAGTTGCTCGGCCCCTTTTGAACAATGGAGGGTAGATATCTCGGTCCATTTCCAATAACAAGGGGACAATTGAAGTTTGTAGTTATAGCAGTTGAGTACTTTACAAAGTGGGTGGATGCCGAGCCGTTGGCAACGATCTCGGAGCCTAATGTAAGAGCTTTAATTTGGAGGTCCATCATATGCAGGTTCAGGATATCGAAGGCCCACATAACTGATAACAGCCGACAGTTTGACAATGCACAATTCAAGGATTTCTGTTCCAACCTAAAGTTTAACCACTGCCTGACATCAGTCTTTCATCCCCGAAGTAATGGTCTAGTCGAGGTCACCAATCGGATTATATTGCAAGACCTCCGAACAAGGATTGGAGATGCAAGAGGTTTCTGGTCTGACGAGTTGCCCTCCATACTTTGGACTTACAGAACATTCCACAAGACTACCACTGGGGAGACCCCCTTCATGTTAGCTTTTGGAATCGAAGCTATCATTCCCATTGAAATTAGGTTGCCCAGCCAAAGAAGACTTGATCCCGAAGTAGCAAGGCGCACCACTGAACATCTTGACCTCTTGAAAGAAGTTCGTGACCAGGCACTATCAAGATAGAAAAGTAAAGTATTTCAATATAAAGGTAAGGCCACGAAGATTCAGAGCTAGAGATTTGGTGTTGAGAATGGCTGAAGCTGCTTGTTATGCTCCAAAGAAACTCGGACCAGTCTGGGAAGGGCCCTTTGAAGTCATACGATAGCTCTTAGGGGCTGCATACAGTTTAAAAGATACTTCGGGAAAATCGCTCCCAAGACCGTGGAATATCGAAAACTTAAAGATATATTACTAGTAACTCGCTCCACCATGTTTCAGAAATAAGGCCTACGTGCCAAAGTTAATTTTTATCATTAATAAGGTCTGCGTGCCAAGTCTATTTTTTACCATTTGTCTTGTCTACATGTTAAGTCTATTTTTTTAATTTGTCTGGCCTACGTGCGAAGTCCATTTTTTAATTTGTCAGGCCTGCGTGCCAAGTCCATTTATAGAGTATATTACAGTTAAATTTGACAATATATCACACTACAACATAAAGCTTTGTCCCGCGCAAGTACTAAAAAGCCTTGTCTTGTGCAAGCACCTCAAAGCCTTGCCTGAGCAAGCACCTCAAAAAGCCTTGCCCTGCGCAAGCACCTCAAAGCCTTACCCCGAGCAAACACCTCAAAGCCTTGCCCTGTGCAAGCACTTAAAAGCCTTGCCTCGCGCAAACACTCTATTTTTCCTTGCCCCGAGCAAGCACCTTAAAGCCTTGCCCCATGCAAATACTAAAAGATCTTGTCTCAAGCAAGCACCTCAAACCCTTTGCCCGGTGCAAGCACCTATAAAGTACCTCAAGTCCAAGTAAGTTCCTGACCAAATAACACCCCGAGGACATTAGACCCAAAAACTCGTAAAAATACCTACGAATAGCTGGGGAATGAATACTCTAATAGTTCGGGATTTCACACTCTCACAGGTCAAGAAAGGACACGGTGCCCAGTTGAACGTTGTGCGTATGTTTACCTCGCTCAATTTTCACAATCTAGATTATCACCTTCCTAGACATCGAGATTAAAAGTTCCATCTTTGGCATCAAGATTAACTATGAATCTTTGTCATCGAGATATTAATATCTTAGACGTCGAGATTAAAACTTCGTCTTAGGCTTCCAGATTAACAATGAATCTTTGTGTCGGGATATTAATATCTTAGACGTTGAGATTAAAACTTCGTCTTAGATGTCAAGATTAACAATGAATCTTTGTCATCGGGATATTAATATCTTAGACGTCGAGATTAAAACTTCGTCTTAGGCGTCCAGATTAACAATGTATCTTTGTCATCGGGATATTAATATCTTAGACGTCGAGATTAAAACTTCATTTTGGGTGTTAAGATTAAAAATGCATCTTTATCATCTGGATATTAACTATCTTGGTGGTCGAGATTATTAATCAACACACTATCGCCATTATCAATACTAGAAAACATGTCGGTAACACAAAATATATTCATTAAGGTTAGGCAAAACACTTGAATTTGTAAAAGTAGATGACAAAAGCTCAAAAAATATGCTCGAGAAATCTAGTTGTCATCAACTGGGTTCGTCTCCCCTTCCTCGGCGTCCTCACCGTTAGTATCGACCTCCTGATCGTCGATGGCATCCTCGGACTCTAAAAGCTCGAGGTCTTCAGCAACTTCCGGGATGTTCTTCAAATCCTCGAGCTTAGCATAGGCTTCCAATGCAAGAATGCCCGAACCTCTTTTGAAGCGTGGAAGTACGAGCCCATGGCGTACTCCCCCTTCAGCCCATTGAACTCCTCGAAAGTTTTGAAGTCCTCAATTGCGATGCCTCGAGCTTCAGTCAGACAAGCTTCAAAATCCCTCTTCAAATGCTCGATCTCAAGCTTTAAATCCTCGACCTCACCCTTGGCTATTCTAGCCTCTTCCCGGGCCCTCTGAAGGACATTTTTGGTGTCATCACATTCCTTCTGAAGAAGAAAGTGCTCAGCCTCCATGTCAACTATTTTCTTCTCTCGTGCTCGAGCAGAATCCTCGAGCTCAGCAGTTTTTTAGGCCTCATCTTTCCCCTTCAGAGAGAGGCCTCGGGTAATACTCATTATCTGCAATATATAAAAGCCGAGCTTAATGATCGAGCCATAGAAATCCTTAACTTGATGCAAGTAAAATGAATAAGCTTACCGTCAGCGTAAGAGACTCAAGAGCTTTCATGCCCTCATCGAAGCCGAGCTCCACTCAATACTTATCCACAATGCTCAACAACAAAAGGCACCAGTCAGGATCTCGATCTTGAAAGGAAGGCGCAGGATGGGCTTCGTCCTCGAGGTCAACAACCTCGGGAGTACTTCTTGACCGAGGATTTAATCGAGGAGTAGCAAGTGGAACTTCATTCTCATCACCCACTGCACCAATGGTCGGGGATTGTTGCCGGCCAGAAGGCTCACCTGGCCCACTCCTGACATTCTTGAGCCTGAATCACGAGCTTTTTTTCCCTCTTTTCAGACCTGGGGCTCGAACTTGAGGGGCCCTTGACTTCTTATTCACGGCCTGTCGAAGAACTGAAGGATCGAAAGTCATCTCTGTAAAGACAAGTCATTAGCGTGAGCATGATTATACATTCAAAGACACATCGATGAGGAAAGAAAGTAAAAGTATGATCCCTTCCCTCAATACCTTTCACATCTGCAAGATCGAGAACGTCATCCCCCAGATGTCATCTATATCATAAACAAGAGGCTTAAGGTTCTCTAACATCTCCCTATCCCTTTCTAAAGATTCAAAATAGGCCTGACCTTCACAAAACCTGGTCGTGTCGGGCAAAACCTACCTAGGGCTAAAAGGAAAGTCAGAATCCTGAGTTATGACATAAAAACCACTTTTCTTTCCACCCCTTTAATGAACTTGGCATCCTCGGTATCCTGAAACCTCCTCGAGATGAAAGATAGGCAAAACATGTATATCAAGGTAGCTGTTTCAAATCGAAGACCATTCTACAAAGGTCGATGTATGGGTTAATACCTAGGTATCTACAGGCTATAAAAAAGTAGGTAAGCATCCTCCACCCATTTGGCACGAGTTGTCCAGGGCTCATGTTGTGCTCGACCAGTAAAGCCACAAAGAAGGGGTGCAGGGGCCATCTAAATCCACCCTTTAGCGGGTCTCTAAAAATTACAAACTTCCCATCCCGAGCAATGGCCATCCTATCCTCATCCCCTGGCGTCCTAATATCACACTTCGGCATGAGCCTACGCTCCCTAGCCGTTGATATAGCTAGATGCTCCTTAAATTTACAGGGGAGGTCAGCGTACCTAAATGGCGTGGGGATACCTTGTGCCCGAGGCTGGGCATTAATGGGCACGACCATGGGTATGATCGAGCGTCCCTTGTCCTCAGGAGTATTCCTTGAGGAAGAGGACGAAGACTTACTACTACTACTAGACATCCTGACCTAGGTAAAAAAGTGTCTAAAGAATAACTTAAGATCTCGAGGTCTTACATTAAAGTCGACACCTAAAAACCCCACCAAAGTTCTGATCCCGACGATTAGCAAGAGAAGTTTACTGAGAGTGAAAAGTGAAAAATGAAAAGTGAACAAGGTATTTATAGGCAACAAAAGAGGGTAGTCCAAAAGTAACTACCCCGATCGTTAGATCTGGCCACGTGTCCTACATCCAGCCCATACCGCTTTTTACTGCCTTTTCTTATTTAGGGCTTACTTCAGTACCACGTCAGTCCTTCTGAACACCTGTCTTCAAGAACTCCCTCGAGCTTACACACCCGAGCTCTTTGCCTCCTGGCTTCTTTCGCACCATATCCTCAAGCAAAGCTTCGAGAATAGGTGCACGGGGGCTAGTGATACTGACATTCCCTACCTATACCGACCACTTTTATCCCGACCATTTGTGAGGGCATTTCTTACGATTTCTGGTCATTAGTGCTCGGGATTCAACTAAGTCCTCTGGACATCCTGTGCCCGACCTTGATAGTTAAACTAACTATCATAGAATATAGGGATGTCCTCGGGAATAATACCTTGGGAAAATCCCTTGAGGTCCTCAACTACCATCTTCCTCGTACTAAGGAGAGGGTTTATCCCCTGAGAACTCTTTTCTGACACAAATACTGCAAACCACATCTCTAAAGTCCAAGAGAGTCCTCTTAACAAATTGGTCTTCTAATCACAGTAGGATCCACACACTGCTTTCTCATGAGACTCTATCGGATAAGGATACCTAGATAGTTGAATCCTACCAGAAAAGTACTATACACCTCTATAAATACAGAACCTTAAGCCATTATTCAGGTACGTTTTCATTATTCTCCAGTTTATAGACTCACGCATATAATTCCCTTTCTGACTTAAGCATCGAAGGGGCGACGAGAACACACCTCCTTTTCTTTGTTTCAAGAACCGGAAAACTACGATCGTGCTCATTCAAAGTCTTCAAGCTCGGGAAATCAACATGTACGATTTTTGGTAGCATCAGGTGTAATTTCAAAAAAAAAAAAAAAATCAGAAATTTGAGATAAAAATGTTTAGCAAAGTTTATAAACATTTTGTGGGGTGACATTTAAATAATTTTATCTAATTCTCTTCCGATGTTTCGTCAACCCGTACCCAGAAATTCTGAAAATGCAGTTGGACTGCAAGAGTAAATATGAGTGTAGAGAATTGGTGATATTAAAAGGGAAATAATTTATGCTAGAATTCTGAGTGTGCAGATGGCTCGCCCAAAATATGATTTCACCTCAGGTTTCAGAATTTATTTCTTGGCAGTATATATGCATTGAAGTATTTAACACACACAGTGAATGTGATTCGAAGAGAATATAAACTGACTGTTAAATACTTTAAATGCATATCTTCAAGTCACATTCACTAGTTAAAATTCTTGTAAATATATATTCTTTTAACTAG